ATTTACAGATGTTCCCTAAACGCCTCGCGTGCGGGCTAGGCGTCTGAGAAGCCTCTAGTCCCCGTCGGTTACAGCTCAGACTGCCTGGAGACCGGAGACAGGCTAGAGAAGAGTGAAATAATGTCAGGTTTGCTGAAGCTGAAGCTGATTTTATCTCTTTGCGTGGGCTGCGAGGAAACACAAACGCAGACCTGTTAAATGTCAGACGCGGCCCTCACAGCCAGCGCTGATGTTGACATATTTTTGAGTTCCAGTCGAGACGCTTCGCTTCCTTTAGATGATAAACATTATGAGGGAATACAGTGAAAGATTGAGATAGAAAGCAAAAAAGGGAGGGTTTTCCTACCAGATGAAGAGAAAAAGGAATTCTACATGAAGGGAATTGAGCTGAAGTGTAATTTCCACGCTGGAGCGCATTAATAATGTGGCGGTCGGAGGGCTCTCCTTCACTATCTCCACCCCCTCCTTCCCACGTTGACTCTCATTTTCTGCCCTCGTTTCTCCGAGCGATCGTCCCCGGGGGGGAGGCAGAGCTCCGAGGGAGGGAGAGAGGAGAGGATGGAGGAGAGAAAATGGCAATGACAGTTTGTAGGGCAGCCGCTGAGAGCTGAGAGCCGGGAGGTGGAAGTGAAGGAAAGATATTAGCAGGAAGAAAAGAGAAGGTGAGAACAAACCGAGAGAAACAGGAGGTGAGAAGAAGGAAAGGGAAGGAGATACAGGGGAGAACAAGAGGGCAACAGAAGCTACAGTAGGTAAGGCTGACAGTTCATTTAACCCTTCATTTAATAAAACCACAGACTAACAGGACAGGAGGAGGATGTGTGGAGTGCAGCTCTAATAACGGTGCATGAGAAGTTTTCATCTTTAGCTGCTGCTAAGCTACATCCTTCATGCTGCGCGGATCGTTTTCAGTGGATAAAAACACCAGATTAAAGAATATCAGATGAAATATTCACCAGCAAGCACTCGTAAGCTTATGGATGATGTGGAGACAACTTACCAAGTGATCAGAAAACATAAATACCTGCTCATGCTAGCTCTGAGCTTGCTGTGAGTCTGCAGGATGTTGTCGTGCCTTTTTAGACATTTGTGCCACTTTAATGCTGCTAATTGACCGAGAAATAGTAGAAATAACTGCGTGAAATGGACCACAATGCACTAATATAAGCATTAGACGTGGGGTGTGGCGAAGCAAACAAACTCTTAATGGACTGATGCTCTTCAACCGATCGATTGGTTGCAGAAAAAGTGAAATCTGCACGTTATCCGCAGATGAAGGTCGAGCAAATGTTCCACCTGCTAGCTTTATTAGCTTAGATTAATTCTAAATCGACATCAAAAGCTGCCATTTGCAGCGTATCGGATCGATTAAACTGGATGTTTTCTGCTGAAATGACGAGAACAGACTCTGATTGATTGGGTTTCTGATAATAGACATCGCTAAAACAGACGAGTTAGCTTGTGTTTTTAGAGGATACGCAAGTTCATGCTCGACTTTTGTCCAGGGTTTGAACAAAATGCAGCCACGCCGACGACTTCAGTGAGTTTGGAGTCGAGTAAAGACGAGTAAGGTTTGACTGAGCAGCGTCCATAAGGTTAAAAATTGGGAAACCGTGGGGGTGTTCACATGTTGTCGGATCCTCCTGCTGCAAAGAATAATGGGATATTTCCTTGTAAAACTAACAGTGGAGGTTGTTTGACCAGTAAAAATAGCAGCACATTGGTCAGTAAGTCAACTTTACACGTGACATCCATTGAGAAAATCAGCTTTTTGTAAGTTTAATAAGTTTAATTTAAGGTTGTTGACTCGTACAGTAACTCTTAACTGCATCGTAAAACGGTCTTTGAAACCTGCAGGAACCCTGTTTTTATGTGATTATACGACAGCCCACCTCCAGAAACATCCTGCATGAAGCCGTCTCATCCTCGATGAAGCAACAGAGTGACTCAGCACTTTTAACCCACACTTGACCCCAATTTTTTTTTGTCTTTTTTGCAAAACTCCTGCCACAGTCGAGCCAGCAGCGGCTCACGTTAGACGCTATGAAGATGTATTTTCCTGCCACAAACCGTTTGGCGTGTTTATACGAAGAGAGGCCGTAATAATGCCGCCGCTATTGTTTATATGGGCTGTGGGAAGAGGAGCGAGGGAGGAGGAGGAGGGGGATAATGCGAAGCGGGATTGAAAGGGGGGCCCGAGACCAGAGATGAGTGCAGAGATTAAGGGCGAAGAGAAAGAGGAATCCTGGGCCGGAGAGTAAATCAGAGGGGAAGCTAAGAGAGAGGGCGAGTTAGGAAGCTGTGAGGGAGGCAGAACAAGGTTCTCGGTGTTGCAGAGGAGCAGCTTGAAGCAGGACTAAGTGGCCGTGACGAAGCGCCGCCCGGATGCCAACTCGCACAAACACACATGGACGGACTGCGATCCCATTGAGAAGCACAGCGTCTCCGAGGAGTGGGAACTGCAGTTAGCGGAGCTGCTTTGATGACTCTACTCGAGGGTTTGGGTGAATGAGAGCGCCGGAGCAGAGCTGTTGCCTCATGCAACATCACAGAAACACCGGTTTAAAGCCAGTTCTACAGTGTCTGCATGGTGCACAGTTGTCCTTCTAAATACATCCACAATGCACACTGGTGATGTCTTCACTGTGCAGGACCGCTCAAATAACTTTACTGCAATGTTTTGATAAAAAAAAACCGAGTTAAAACTGAAAGATAAGCTCATCATTTACTGCTCCTTACATCCAAAACACATCCCAATGTCTATATTTTTGTTAAACCACTCCAAGCGTCGCAAATTAAACCTTAATACTTCATTATTAGATCAACTTGCTGAGGCTTTATTTCACAGGATTAAGTAGGGCTGTGCAGTTTGTGCATACACACTTTTAATACTGTCATCATTCTTTCAGTGTTCAGCACCATGTTTGTTGTGTAATGTCGCTGGGATTCCCTCCTCAGAACATGTCAGTGTTTTTTTATTTGCCTTTGTTTCACCTTTATCATGAAGTTCACTGCCTCTCTACACACCTACTCTCACATCTTCCTCCTCCTCCTCCTCCCTCCACACCTCATTAGCCAATCATGCGTAAGGAGACCGGTTTCTATTTTTACTCTGCTGCGCTGCACGTCCTCGCTTTTCATCAAAGGTGGAGGCGCAGGAAGAAATAAAAAAAGACGGTCGCAAATGCAGACGGCGCGATGAATAATAGAATCAGAGAGAGTGGCTTGTGGTAAAACAGGTCAGCATGAATGATGGCGATGGAGATGAGCTGCTTGTGCACAAACGCCAGGTAGATCCTCTGACCTCCGCTTCCCCTCGAGACGCGTAACGTTATCAACAAATCAGCGTCGCGCCGAATGAAAGCGTCCGCCGCTGACAGAGGGGAGCGTGCGGACAGCGCTGCCAGAGATATTTGGGTTGAAGAGTGTATGTGTGTGTGTGTGTGTGCTGACCACAGCTGCAGGGCAAAACCAGTGACTCACATGTTAAGAATCGAGTAATTCACCCTCCTTTCCCCTCATTCGTGTTGGTGTGTTTGTGCTTGTAACCAGCTGCTGACCCAGATGAAACTGTGACATAATGACATCCTAAACTATTGTGTTGTTCTGTGCTTGTGCGAGAAAAGGGGAGGCAGATCCAGAAGAGCTAATGTTTCCAACAGCCATGAGCTCATTTGCTGTGAGCCAAAGGGCCAGAATCTGCTAACTTACATAAGCCGAATATATTTAATTTTGCTCTTTTATTCCCCACGTAACTTACAGTACGATTAACCCTCTGGACCCCAGGCAGTCGCTGAGCTCATTCCTTGCTTGTGTCACGTTTTTCTCTGCAATATAAACTCCTGCACGTCTGTGGAAACAACAAAGCCATGGCTAGAAGGCGAGAGTGTCCACTGTGCAGTAAAACACAGTTCGAATGTGTTAAATCATGAAAAAAGTTTGATTTCTTTCATTATTTATTTTACAAAAAATTTCAAAGACAGGAATCAACATGTCCCAGGTGTTACCGTACTGGGAAGAAAAGCAGACTGTATATGTACTAACATTTTTAATTTTTTGATAATTTAAATTCGTCTGCTTTGTCTGAACATTGCCTGCAGTTCAGCTGAAAAGTGTCAGAATTTTTGTCACGTCACTGTTGGTCACAGCTGAGTCACTATTTGTTTCTCAGTTGCGTTGAGGAGCGCAGAATTTTTATTTTTTGCAGAATCTGATTCGTGCAAATGGTTAATTTTTGAGATTTTTTTTTTTTAAAAAGGAAATGCACATGATTGTGATTTTGATTTAAGGTTTGTTTTTTTTTTAAAGCTTAGATTTTGGCTCCGCTTTTGGACTGAAAATTGAAAATCCAACAATTCTTTTCTGCTTTTATTGAGTCTAGGCCTGATAAACGGTGGGATTTTTGTGGTTTTATTTAATTTTTTACCAGATAGCATGCTTTTTCTAAAACTTGGGCGGATTAATTGATTCCTTGCAACGACTAAATTCATCAGCAGTTCTTTTAAAAGCTGTAAAATAAACGTTGTCTGATTTCTTTCCTCCTCAGTGACGGTAAACTGAGTGTTTGAGGCTGTGAACCAACCAAGACACTTGATACTTTTCATCATTTTAAGACATTTCAGAGACCAAACAACTAATTGATTAATCTAGAAAATAATCTGCAGAATAACAGACAGTGAAAACGATCAGTAGTTATCTTTCTCTGCCGTCCTGTGTTGCTCCCGTCGTAGAAGGAACAAATATGCGACCATGTGGCTCATTTATAAAAGATACTCCGGTTGCACGCCATGAAAAATTCATATTTGTGCCTGAAATCAGTGGAACGGGCTCATTTTTCTTCATCTCCTCTTAACACACACATCGTTATTCAAGGCAAAAATATCGCAGAGCATCATTTTAATCTTGTAAAACGACGATCCGGCGACATAACTCTCATTTTGCCGATCTGTGTGCCGATCTAAACGCCCGCCCGCCGCTCTCCTCCCTCCCTCTCTGTGCAGGTTGACGTGTCGCCATGACAACAGAAGCAGGCTCTGAGACGGAGGTGAAGGAGAAAGCCGAGGAGTCAGCTGCTCAGCCGGACCAATCGGAGAAGGCCGCGGAGGAAACCAAGGAAGTAGCGAACGCCGAGGGAGAGGAGAAGGAGAAGGAGAAGGAGAAAGAGGGGAAGGAGGGCAAAGGGATATCTCGGTACCTGCCGACATGGCTTAAGAAGCAGAAGTCTCAGGTGAGGGTCCAGTCACGTCGCTGTGATTTATACAGAGTGAGAAGTCAGCACTGTGCATGGGTTTTAAACGTTTAATTCTTGTCCCTGACTCGCCAAGACCTCCCCGACGAAGGAGGCCCCGCCCACAGAGGAGCCCGTCGCCAAGGTGACGCAGGGAGAGGAGGGGCCTGTCCCGGAAGTGAACGGCCACGCGGAGGAAGTGGACGAGAAGGAGGACGTGAAGTCGGAGCAAGTGAAGGAGAAGGAGGCGGAGTCTCATTCCAACGCCAGCGCAGACACTGAGGTGGGGTCACACGGAGCAAAGCATGCTGGGAGATGATTATATAGAATGTAATTTATAGCATACGAGAACGTCATGTCGAGGCACTTCACATGTATTCACAAAGTTTGGATTCTCTTTGAGCACCTCTGTGGGAAGAATAAAACCTCCGGCAGAACCAGGCTCAGAGAGGGCAGACATCTGCTCCGACTGGTCGGGGTGAGGGCAAGAGGGAGAGGAAAGGGATAGAAGATAGAAAACAAACAGTATATGGAGAGTTCATTTGCAAAAACAGATAACTCCATCTTCACAAACCTTCAGAAAACCCATCTGAGACGATATCAATCAAACTGAAGTTATCTCTTTTTGTCATTGGAGTCAGATCCACTCAGCTTCAGTTTTACTGATNAAAATATCTATATTTTGCATTATTAAAAAAATTCTGAAATCTCAGTAGAAATTCAAAAGTTCTAAAGATAAATTTAATAAGTATTTAAATGATTGTAAAGGTGCAGATAAAGGTTTTATTGTCTTTGATCAGGATTTTTTGGGAGTTAAACTCAGCTAAAGATAACTCATCTGAGGCTATATTATACTGTAATAAATGGTAATATAATTTCTGACTCCTTGTTGCGTCAGTTTGCTGCTACCAGGACGAGTTTCTTGGAGATATTTTGCTTTTTAAAATTCATGTAGTTGATCCTCTGACAGCAGAAGCTCTGTTCCCAGACATGCTTTGGATGCACTCAATGCGTAAAAATGGCGGTTTTATCACATGTTGGTGTTTCCCACTGATTAAGAATGCACTTGCATCGTTGGGTGGCGTGCATGCAGAGACTTGTGTGGTTGTTTTCTGAAGCTACAATTTACAGATGTTCCCTAAACGCCTCGCGTGCGGGCTAGGCGTCTGAGAAGCCTCTAGTCCCCGTCGGTTACAGCTCAGACTGCCTGGAGACCGGAGACAGGCTAGAGAAGAGTGAAATAATGTCAGGTTTGCTGAAGCTGAAGCTGATTTTATCTCTTTGCGTGGGCTGCGAGGAAACACAAACGCAGACCTGTTAAATGTCAGACGCGGCCCTCACAGCCAGCGCTAATGTTGACATATTTTTGAGTTCCAGTCGAGACGCTTCGCTTCCTTTAGATGATAAACATTATGAGGGAATACAGTGAAAGATTGAGATAGAAAGCAAAAAAGGGAGGGTTTTCCTACCAGATGAAGAGAAAAAGGAATTCTACATGAAGGGAATTGAGCTGAAGTGTAATTTCCACGCTGGAGCGCATTAATAATGTGGCGGTCGGAGGGCTCTCCTTCACTATCTCCACCCCCTCCTTCCCACGTTGACTCTCATTTTCTGCCCTCGTTTCTCCGAGCGATCGTCCCCGGGGGGGAGGCAGAGCTCCGAGGGAGGGAGAGAGGAGAGGATGGAGGAGAGAAAATGGCAATGACAGTTTGTAGGGCAGCCGCTGAGAGCTGAGAGCCGGGAGGTGGAAGTGAAGGAAAGATATTAGCAGGAAGAAAAGAGAAGGTGAGAACAAACCGAGAGAAACAGGAGGTGAGAAGAAGGAAAGGGAAGGAGATACAGGGGAGAACAAGAGGGCAACAGAAGCTACAGTAGGTAAGGCTGACAGTTCATTTAACCCTTCATTTAATAAAACCACAGACTAACAGGACAGGAGGAGGAGGATGTGTGGAGTGCAGCTCTAATAACGGTGCATGAGAAGTTTTCATCTTTAGCTGCTGCTAAGCTACATCCTTCATGCTGCGCGGATCGTTTTCAGTGGATAAAAACACCAGATTAAAGAATATCAGATGAAATATTCACCAGCAAGCACTCGTAAGCTTATGGATGATGTGGAGACAACTTACCAAGTGATCAGAAAACATAAATACCTGCTCATGCTAGCTCTGAGCTTGCTGTGAGTCTGCAGGATGTTGTCGTGCCTTTTTAGACATTTGTGCCACTTTAATGCTGCTAATTGACCGAGAAATAGTAGAAATAACTGCGTGAAATGGACCACAATGCACTAATATAAGCATTAGACGTGGGGTGTGGCGAAGCAAACAAACTCTTAATGGACTGATGCTCTTCAACCGATCGATTGGTTGCAGAAAAAGTGAAATCTGCACGTTATCCGCAGATGAAGGTCGAGCAAATGTTCCACCTGCTAGCTTTATTAGCTTAGATTAATTCTAAATCGACATCAAAAGCTGCCGTTTGCAGCGTATCGGATCGATTAAACTGGATGTTTTCTGCTGAAATGACGAGAACAGACTCTGATTGATTGGGTTTCTGATAATAGACATCGCTAAAACAGACGAGTTAGCTTGTGTTTTTAGAGGATACGCAAGTTCATGCTCGACTTTTGTCCAGGGTTTGAACAAAATGCAGCCACGCCGACGACTTCAGTGAGTTTGGAGTCGAGTAAAGACGAGTAAGGTTTGACTGAGCAGCGTCCATAAGGTTAAAAATTGGGAAACCGTGGGGGTGTTCACATGTTGTCGGATCCTCCTGCTGCAAAGAATAATGGGATATTTCCTTGTAAAACTAACAGTGGAGGTTGTTTGACCAGTAAAAATAGCAGCACATTGGTCAGTAAGTCAACTTTACACGTGACATCCATTGAGAAAATCAGCTTTTTGTAAGTTTAATAAGTTTAATTTAAGGTTGTTGACTCGTACAGTAACTCTTAACTGCATCGTAAAACGGTCTTTGAAACCTGCAGGAACCCTGTTTTTATGTGATTATACGACAGCCCACCTCCAGAAACATCCTGCATGAAGCCGTCTCATCCTCGATGAAGCAACAGAGTGACTCAGCACTTTTAACCCACACTTGACCCCAATTTTTTTTTGTCTTTTTTGCAAAACTCCTGCCACAGTCGAGCCAGCAGCGGCTCACGTTAGACGCTATGAAGATGTATTTTCCTGCCACAAACCGTTTGGCGTGTTTATACGAAGAGAGGCCGTAATAATGCCGCCGCTATTGTTTATATGGGCTGTGGGAAGAGGAGCGAGGGAGGAGGAGGAGGGGGATAATGCGAAGCGGGATTGAAAGGGGGGCCCGAGACCAGAGATGAGTGCAGAGATTAAGGGCGAAGAGAAAGAGGAATCCTGGGCCGGAGAGTAAATCAGAGGGGAAGCTAAGAGAGAGGGCGAGTTAGGAAGCTGTGAGGGAGGCAGAACAAGGTTCTCGGTGTTGCAGAGGAGCAGCTTGAAGCAGGACTAAGTGGCCGTGACGAAGCGCCGCCCGGATGCCAACTCGCACAAACACACATGGACGGACTGCGATCCCATTGAGAAGCACAGCGTCTCCGAGGAGTGGGAACTGCAGTTAGCGGAGCTGCTTTGATGACTCTACTCGAGGGTTTGGGTGAATGAGAGCGCCGGAGCAGAGCTGTTGCCTCATGCAACATCACAGAAACACCGGTTTAAAGCCAGTTCTACAGTGTCTGCATGGTGCACAGTTGTCCTTCTAAATACATCCACAATGCACACTGGTGATGTCTTCACTGTGCAGGACCGCTCAAATAACTTTACTGCAATGTTTTGATAAAAAAAAACCGAGTTAAAACTGAAAGATAAGCTCATCATTTACTGCTCCTTACATCCAAAACACATCCCAATGTCTATATTTTTGTTAAACCACTCCAAGCGTCGCAAATTAAACCTTAATACTTCATTATTAGATCAACTTGCTGAGGCTTTATTTCACAGGATTAAGTAGGGCTGTGCAGTTTGTGCATACACACTTTTAATACTGTCATCATTCTTTCAGTGTTCAGCACCATGTTTGTTGTGTAATGTCGCTGGGATTCCCTCCTCAGAACATGTCAGTGTTTTTTTATTTGCCTTTGTTTCACCTTTATCATGAAGTTCACTGCCTCTCTACACACCTACTCTCACATCTTCCTCCTCCTCCTCCTCCCTCCACACCTCATTAGCCAATCATGCGTAAGGAGACCGGTTTCTATTTTTACTCTGCTGCGCTGCACGTCCTCGCTTTTCATCAAAGGTGGAGGCGCAGGAAGAAATAAAAAAAGACGGTCGCAAATGCAGACGGCGCGATGAATAATAGAATCAGAGAGAGTGGCTTGTGGTAAAACAGGTCAGCATGAATGATGGCGATGGAGATGAGCTGCTTGTGCACAAACGCCAGGTAGATCCTCTGACCTCCGCTTCCCCTCGAGACGCGTAACGTTATCAACAAATCAGCGTCGCGCCGAATGAAAGCGTCCGCCGCTGACAGAGGGGAGCGTGCGGACAGCGCTGCCAGAGATATTTGGGTTGAAGAGTGTATGTGTGTGTGTGTGTGTGCTGACCACAGCTGCAGGGCAAAACCAGTGACTCACATGTTAAGAATCGAGTAATTCACCCTCCTTTCCCCTCATTCGTGTTGGTGTGTTTGTGCTTGTAACCAGCTGCTGACCCAGATGAAACTGTGACATAATGACATCCTAAACTATTGTGTTGTTCTGTGCTTGTGCGAGAAAAGGGGAGGCAGATCCAGAAGAGCTAATGTTTCCAACAGCCATGAGCTCATTTGCTGTGAGCCAAAGGGCCAGAATCTGCTAACTTACATAAGCCGAATATATTTAATTTTGCTCTTTTATTCCCCACGTAACTTACAGTACGATTAACCCTCTGGACCCCAGGCAGTCGCTGAGCTCATTCCTTGCTTGTGTCACGTTTTTCTCTGCAATATAAACTCCTGCACGTCTGTGGAAACAACAAAGCCATGGCTAGAAGGCGAGAGTGTCCACTGTGCAGTAAAACACAGTTCGAATGTGTTAAATCATGAAAAAAGTTTGATTTCTTTCATTATTTATTTTACAAAAAATTTCAAAGACAGGAATCAACATGTCCCAGGTGTTACCGTACTGGGAAGAAAAGCAGACTGTATATGTACTAACATTTTTAATTTTTTGATAATTTAAATTCGTCTGCTTTGTCTGAACATTGCCTGCAGTTCAGCTGAAAAGTGTCAGAATTTTTGTCACGTCACTGTTGGTCACAGCTGAGTCACTATTTGCTTCTCAGTTGCGTTGAGGAGCGCAGAATTTTTATTTTTTGCAGAATCTGATTCGTGCAAATGGTTAATTTTTGAGATTTTTTTTTTTTAAAAAGGAAATGCACATGATTGTGATTTTGATTTAAGGTTTGTTTTTTTTTTAAAGCTTAGATTTTGGCTCCGCTTTTGGACTGAAAATTGAAAATCCAACAATTCTTTTCTGCTTTTATTGAGTCTAGGCCTGATAAACGGTGGAATTTTTGTTGTTTTATTAAATTTTTTACCAGATAACATGCTTTTTTTTAAAAACTTGGGCGGATTAATTGATTCCTTGCAACGACTAAATTCATCAGCAGTTCTTTTAAAAGCTGTAAAATAAACGTTCTCTGATTTCTTTCCTCCTCAGTGACGGTAAACTGAGTGTTTGAGGCTGTGAACCAACCAAGACACTTGATACTTTTCATCATTTTAAGACATTTCAGAGACCAAACAACTAATTGATTAATCTAGAAAATAATCTGCAGAATAACAGACAGTGAAAACGATCAGTAGTTATCTTTCTCTGCCGTCCTGTGTTGCTCCCGTCGTAGAAGGAACAAATATGCGACCATGTGGCTCATTTATAAAAGATACTCCGGTTGCACGCCATGAAAAATTCATATTTCTGCCTGAAATCAGTGGAACGGGCTCATTTTTCTTCATCTCCTCTTAACACACACATCGTTATTCAAGGCAAAAATATCGCAGAGCATCATTTTAATCTTGTAAAACGACGATCCGGCGACATAACTCTCATTTTGCCGATCTGTGTGCCGATCTAAACGCCCGCCCGCCGCTCTCCTCCCTCCCTCTCTGTGCAGGTTGACGTGTCGCCATGACAACAGAAGCAGGCTCTGAGACGGAGGTGAAGGAGAAAGCCGAGGAGTCAGCTGCTCAGCCGGACCAATCGGAGAAGGCCGCGGAGGAAACCAAGGAAGTAGCGAACGCCGAGGGAGAGGAGAAGGAGAAGGAGAAGGAGAAAGAGGGGAAGGAGGGCAAAGGGATATCTCGGTACCTGCCGACATGGCTTAAGAAGCAGAAGTCTCAGGTGAGGGTCCAGTCACGTCGCTGTGATTTATACAGAGTGAGAAGTCAGCACTGTGCATGGGTTTTAAACGTTTAATTCTTGTCCCTGACTCGCCAAGACCTCCCCGACGAAGGAGGCCCCGCCCACAGAGGAGCCCGTCGCCAAGGTGACGCAGGGAGAGGAGGGGCCTGTCCCGGAAGTGAACGGCCACGCGGAGGAAGTGGACGAGAAGGAGGACGTGAAGTCGGAGCAAGTGAAGGAGAAGGAGGCGGAGTCTCATTCCAACGCCAGCGCAGACACTGAGGTGGGGTCACACGGAGCAAAGCATGCTGGGAGATGATTATATAGAATGTAATTTATAGCATACGAGAACGTCATGTCGAGGCACTTCACATGTATTCACAAAGTTTGGATTCTCTTTGAGCACCTCTGTGGGAAGAATAAAACCTCCGGCAGAACCAGGCTCAGAGAGGGCAGACATCTGCTCCGACTGGTCGGGGTGAGGGCAAGAGGGAGAGGAAAGGGATAGAAGATAGAAAACAAACAGTATATGGAGAGTCCATTTGCAAAAACAGATAACTCCATCTTCACAAACCTTCAGAAAACCCATCTGAGACGATATCAATCAAACTGAAGTTATCTCTTTTTGTCATTGGAGTCAGATCCACTCAGCTTCAGTTTTACTGATTTCATCTCAAGCAAACAAACAAAAAAAATGTTTTCTGAAAATCTACAAACATGGACTTATCTGTTTTTGGTGATTTTGGTGTAAATTTAAGATTGGATTTGTTTTTTTAGAGGTTGCATTTGGCTGAGCTCTCCGACAGAACAGCTAGAAAACAGAAAACCAAACCACCGGGTTAGGGTTAACCTAACCCTAACCCTTCTTCACGTTTCATTGGCAGTATTGCATTTACATGAAACGTCTCACTACAAACTTTCATACGTCACGCTGTAAAACCTGTTCTGCTAGAAAACATCCTCCTTTGTTTGTCAGTCACACATTCTGGTAGATTTTCTTCAATAAACAAGAAAACTTAAGATGTTCTTTTGATGAGCTGATCGCGCTTTCTGCTTCGTTAAAACGGCGTGAAAAGAAAAAGGCAGGATTTGCAGACTGTTTAAAGCTGCTGTTCAACCCAGAAAAGAAAAGAAAGCACACAAATCCATTCTCCCTCCTGCACTCACACACTCACATGAAGTCTTCCATGCAGTGATCACATTAATCCGCCCGGGCCCACCCAGTGACATCAACATTTCAGCCATCAGGCCAAAAGAAACGCCTGCATTTTGTAAGAGAAAACACCGACGAGAAGGGGAATTACACAAGAAGAGACTAAACAGCGTTCTCTCTTTTCACTTCAGACAAACAGCCGGGGTTTAGTCCGTGTTCTTCAAGAAGACTGAACGTTTGTGTTTGGGAATTTGACACCTTTCTTTCTTCTTTTCTCCCTCGCACCTTGCAAACCAGCCTGCCAAGGAGGAGAAGGCGGACGAGAGCGCAGAGAGAAGTCCGGAGGAAACCAAGAGGGAGGCGACAGAAGGAGAAGGAGCCGAGGAGGAGGAGACGAAGAAGGAGCAGGAAGGAGAGAAGGAGGCCGAAGGAGGAGGAGAAGCAGGAGGAGAAGACGACGGAGAAGGCCAGACCTCCATTTTTCAGTCTCCTCTTCGCCTGGTGAGGAAGAACAAGATGAAGCTGGTGGTTTGTCACGTGACCCTGCTGGACGGCACCGACTTCAGCTGCGAGGTGGAGGTAAGAGTCTGGACAGGTAGACCTCCTACATGTCCTCCTATATGCTGTGGCTCATTTCATATGAAGTCCTGCACCTCTTTGGAAACAGAACAACCCCGACATGAAGTACTTCTAATGCAGAACATCATAGAAAATACAAAACGAAAGATTTGATTGGAAAAAAAAACCTGGACTACAGAGACTTCACATGCTACAGATGTTTAGCTATTTATAGACTTTTCCTCCCTACTCTGCTCATCAGATGTAGAAAGATGTTCCACCATCAGCTGTAGAAAGATGTTCCACCATCAGCTGTAAAAAGATGTTCCACCATCAGCTGTAGAAAGATGTTCCACCATCAGATGTAGAAAGATGTTCCACCATCAGCTGTAGAAAGATGTTCCACCATCAGCTGGATGTATCTCCACCAACTGGCTCCTCTGTTCTCTGGTTCTGATCCATGCTGCATTTATTCATTGATCCAGTAGGTTGGGGTTTCCTCTCTACTGGAAACACTGGCTGCAGTTCAACCGAGAACTCTCTGAATTTTTGGCTGTTGGTCACATCTGAGTTAATTTTGGAGAATCAGTTGAGCAGAGGAGCTCAGATTCTTATTTTTTTGTTAGTTTTTTTTGAAGAACCTTTAAACGAGAAATGTAGGATGAAGCAAATTTGATTAAATATCACGATTTTGAGCTTGGATTTGGTTAATTTTAATGACAGAACCACGTGTTACACGATACCGGTTCAAAGACTTTCAGAAGGTTCAACATCTCACAAATTTTTTGTTTTTTATACTTTTTTTTTGCTCTGATAGACGGTGTCATTTTAGCATTAACGTGTTTCAAACTGCAAACTGAAACTACAGAGAGAAGCGTTGCCGGCTAACAGTTCCTTTGTGTTTAACTTTCTTTATTTGCTGCTGACAGTGAGAACACGTCGCTAGCTGGTAGTTAGCCGTTGACAAGTTGCAGACTGTGCAGGATTTCACGGTCATCCGGAGTGCTTTTATTGAATATATGTCTGCAGCGGCGTCACTTATGGATTTCTTACTTTGTGGTGCTTGTTGCTTTAGAAATGCTCTTTTTGATCAGTGAAAGCTGAGCGGTTAAGTTTGTACCGCTGCTGATGCTGCGGTTTCTTGCTGACTTGTGTGGTAAACAGAATAAAACTTGGAGAGTGCTTCTAGCTTTCTGCTTCTTCTCTTTGGATGTAAGAAGTTTGTCCTGATGGACACGCTGCCTGATGCTCTTTCGCTGGTCAACGAGGCCTCACGTGAGCGCCGGTGCGTGTCGGGGATGTAGCGGCTGATCGGATCAGACGCTTGTGTGTCTGCGTGGGTTCGTTTGACTTCCTGACTCACGGCAGAAGCGTAGTTCGGGGGGTGGATGTGGAGCGGCGCTGCAGGGGCTTGTCTGGTGACTGCAGCACACAGCAGATTACGGGGGTCTCACCAGATTAGTTTCCCGCGTCTGTCGCTAACTAACGAACACGTGGCCTCGTTCAGACACGCAGAGACCCACAACATCACATGTGCTGCACGCTGCTGTCACAGGAGTCAGGAAAAGAAAATCCGTATGATTCTTTACCAAATGAAGTCTGCATGTTACTGATGACAGTGTGAGAATTAGGCTCATTCTTCTCTTGTAGTGCAGTTTCTGAGGTGTAACTTTGAAATCAGCTTGTTTTGTGGACTTTTTGAGAAAAATTCAGCACGTGGATGGTTTTCTTGCTGCTTTTTTATTATCTTAAGTGTGTTTTTTCCCTCATTTTTACTCCAGATTGCAGTGAAACACACATTTCCCAAGGCGGCGTGCACATTTATACCCCTCCTCGCGTTCCCACACTCGCATTTCAGTGGGAAGCTGCCCAGAATAGCCTCGGTGCAGGTCCAGTGGAGCTGCTGAACCTCCGCCTCGAGGAGCCCCGCACAGATACTGAACATGCTTTTGGGGATTTTTCACCGGCGGCTTCACCGGGACAAACCGGCTTCCTAATCTGCAGCGTGCCAACGCCCAGCAGCGTGCCTCGGTGGTCTGAACAGTAGCTGCTTTGTGTCCTGACAGATAGCGCTGATACTGCAGCTAACCGCTATTGTCCTGTAGTACACACACACACACACACACACACACACACACACACACACACCCATCCATCCATCCATCCATCCTCCCTCCACAGCTCAGCTCGAGAGAGGGAGAGAGATGCACAATGCATTCCAGAGATTAAATTTTCTGTTTTTGCCCAGCAGGCCTCCAACACTCACAAAACAACACACGGTTTATGCTCCGACTCCCTCGTCCGCTCTGCCCCGGTTATCGACCCGCGGCGTCGCGTTTATCCGCCGCAATAACTCAACACACATCTTTTTATGAGTCGCGGCGCTCCGGATGAAGACTTACTCCGCCGCGGGTTTCAGAGGAGGGTCTCAGCGTCACGTGGTGCTTCTAAGAATTTCATTAGTGTTGGTTTCAGTGGGATTTCAGCATCACACGGTTTAAGCAGCGATTTGTAGAGTTTCATTAGGTCTCACCTTTAAGTCGCTTTGGGTTTGACGCTATGACTTAATATTTGCACACAAGAGCAACCGATAGGCTCTTTAACTCCAGCTGTCATACTGTATTTCTTCATTACTACCTCTTTAGAACTTCACTACGACAGCATGGATCTCACAGCTCCGGCCGTTTGGCATCTTTTTGCTCGTGTTTGCTCATTTTTCTTCCCCTTTGGCTAATTTTTTACTTAAATATAAACTCCTGCACCTCAATTAAAACAGTGTGAGACAGTTATAATGATCTAAATCATCAGTAAGATGAAACAAAAGTTTAATTTCTTTGATTATTTGTTTCACAAAATTATTCATTTGTCCAACATGGCAGACGACTGTCAAAGATAATTACTGAGCTGCACGGCGACATGCAGAATTTTTGGTTATTTACAGAATCCGGTTTGGTTTAATGTTTTATTTTTGCTGATATTGTTAAAGTGATTTCAGTGAACTTTCAATCATAGGGTTGTTCAGGTTTTCTAACTGAACCACTTGTTGCACACGAGAAGTTCAAGGACTGTCAGAAAATTTACAATTCAATCATTTTATTTTATTTTTTTTTTATAGTTCCTGGCTCTGATAAACAGTGATTTATGGCAGTATAGCACTAGTTAACCAGCCAAAAATCATAAAAGGAAACACAAAAGTTCAATTTCTTTGAGAAAGAAAAAAAAAAAAAACTCAAAATATTGTGTTTGATGTTTTTTTCAAGTATCCCCACGTGTTCCTCGCGCTGGGCAATACAGCTAAAAATCTATCACCACATACATAAATAAACATACATATAGTTAGACAGCATGCAGGAGTCTGTAGAATACAAGCGTTTTAATAGAGGCTTATTTTGGTTGTTTTTTTTTTCCCTTGTAAAACCATCACGCACGATGTGTTCAAGGACAGCTGGAATTCCAGTGATTGTTTCTCAATTTCTGGCTGATAAATGGTGCAATTTTTGGCAACTTTTTAGAAAGAAAACAAGCCGTCTTCTGGAGACTTCCTGTGTGCTGCCTCGGATACCAGCTGTAAAACTGGCTGAACTGTGCACACTGACGAGATTTGTGACTGCATGTGTCTCTAACGCCAGCTAATTCACCAAATCTCTGCCTGCAGACTTCAGACGGTCGTCCCCGGGTAGCTAATTTCTTGGGACTCACTCTAACAGACAGACTCTGACGTGAGCAGTTTTTCCTAATGTGCATAGTTTAGGGGGATATTCGCCAGTTTTACAGCTCGTGTCTGAGATCGACTCGTATTCTCCCAAATCATGCACATTAGGACAATCTCGTCCCGTCAGAGCTTCATGCTGCCTGAAGATTTGTGGATGCACGTGTCTCTAATGCCATTTAACAGGCCGTGTCTCTGCCTGCAGACTCCAGACAGCTGTCCCCGGGTAGTCGACTTCTTAGGAAACACTGGAACAGACAGAAACTCCAAAAGGTCACACATTCTTCGGGCATTTCGGCTTCGCTCCGAGCGTTCTGCGCATGTGTTTGACCAAGTATAGGAAAATACCGCAGATGTTTTCAGCTGTCCCAGGACGAGAAGAAAAATGCACCCTTTCATCCTCGTCCTTCCACTTTGACCACGCCGCCCCGAGTCTGTCTCCGCACCGCACCGAGGCACCGGCTGACCGACCGCGAAGAAATGACCGTTGTTTCGCTCGTTCTTTCTCATTGTTTTTTTCATTTTCACCCCGTCTTCCACCCTCTTTCTGTCTGACCTTCGGCCCGTCTAAAGGCTGCCGTTGTGTGTCTGCGTGCACGGATGTGTGCTAAATGTCATTGTCATAGCTCAGTCTGGAGGATTTTATGGCCATTGGGCTTTTGGAGGAATGTGTCGCCCAGAGATGGAGCAAAAGACGATGAAACCGAGCTCCAGCCAACTATTGTGGCCGATACCTGGCATTGGTACTGGTGTTTTTATTGACCAGTTAAAAAGAAACAAAACAAGAAACACAAAAACCAGGAAACAAACCAAGAAATTAGACTCGCTAAGCCAACGCCAAAGGCTACCCGAAACGCTAGCGGCCAACCAAAAAGGCAGAAAAAAATGAATAGAACAATAAAAGACGCACCAAAACCGGAAACAAAAGGGAAAAAAAAAAGAAAAAAACAGAAAAAAAAGAAGAAAACAAAAAAGAACAGCAGAAGAAAAACCACGAAACAAACCAAAAAAGGACCAAAAAACCCAACAGAAAGCACGAATATAACCACTAAGAATACTCAGTTACAGGCACACCTACAAACCAACAAAACAAGGAAGAAAACAAAGGATGAATGAGAGCATGTCCGAAGTAAAGCACAACCAAAAAAACTACCAAAAAAAAAAGCCATCAGCCGCCCTCCACAACCAATAATCAGCAGTAACAACAACAGCCAACAAAAAAAAAAAAAAAAAAAACCCGTGGGGCGAGACCCAGACTCTAGAAACAAAAAAAAAAAGCAAAACAAAATAGAGCGGAAAACCTCTCTCCCCCTCCTCACACACACAGAGTCACGGAGTATGTCCTGCTGTTGATTTTCTCTTTTTCCAGACGATTATCTTTCATCTTTTTTTTTATCTGCTGCGTTACAAACTTTCAAGGTTTTCCCTCCATGTTCTCGCCTCTGCATCTCTGGCAAACCAACCGTTGCTGGTAAAACACTCACAGGGATATTACCACAGAAAGCTGATTCAACACTTTAGCATGCTGCGACAGACTGAGAGTTTTACCTCGTATTGGTCGGCTTGAGGCCAATTTGCCTGCAAAAGTGGGCTTGACATACATTTTGTCGTCTACACAAGAGCTGGAGAGGGTCTGTGTGGACGTCCAGAATCCAAACTTCTTGTGATTTGGGGGAAATTTGTGCGCATGTGCACGCTGATTGCACATGTACGAGGAGAACAAACAGAGTTTTTGTCATCCACACCTTTATAATTCACCATTAAGAGTTTAAACTGATGAAGAGCTGTTTTGATTCGTACACATTCCATCCAGAGGGCCCAAAAACACAGCTAAAAACCCCACAGATAACACCCCGCGCCGCACCCCCCCGCCGCGCAAAACACACCACAAAAAAAAAACACCAAAATCCAAAACCACCGGCTACGTCGTCCAAAAAAAACGAAGAAGCCTAGCAACAACAAGAAGAGAAAAGTGCCTTTCTGTGTTGGATATCGGGTTAGCAGAGGCAGTGCGACCACCGTAGCAGGTCGACGAAAACCTACTGTGAATAGAGCATCGATTTTGTGAACGTACTCGGCTGAATGTACGTTTATATGCAAAAAAATCCTGATTTCAAAGCTTAAGGAATACCGTAAGACAAAAGCAGGAGAAGCTGATTTTTGGGATCTTATTGAATATGTTATTTTATCGTAGATGTTAATCAATTTTAAATGTTCTCTGTTTTATCGTGTCTCTGCAGAAACGTGCAAAGGGTCAGTTCTTATTCTTCAAGGTGTGCGAGCATCTCAACTTACTGGAGAAAGACTACTTCGGTCTGACGTACAAGGACAGCCACGAACAGAAGGTATGTACTCGTGAACACGCGTGTGCGCGGCGTGTAGCAGACGCCAGACATGTCAGTAATGTACACAAGCAGAAAGTGCGGACATGGACGCCTGCGTAGTGTCTCACTGTGTGTCTCCTCTTCTATTTAGTGTTGGTTGGATCCCACGAAGGAAATCAAGAGACAGATACGCAGTAAGTTTTGCTTTTTATGGATTCCAGCTCCACCTAATTCCATCCGTCTCCTTCACAGCGTTTTTCATTTAAAGAGGCCAAAATCCACTTTGTTTTGTGTTCTTCCCTTCCAGAAATACAGTAATAAACCTGCAGATGTGCACGATACGAGCTCTTTTAGCAAACAAGTAGGGGTCCTCGGACCCTAAAAAGAAAAACAGGCTGCAATCTCTCACCCAAAAGGAAATGAATAAAATATGAACGCTGAATTAATAAAATAGGCCATGTTTCCCCCATATAAAGGGAAAATGAGTCAAACAAAGAGACCAGAGACATTTGAAACTCAATAACAGCAGATTGAAGGCGTGGAGGAGGTTACTGGGGTGTGATCGGCCCGATTTATTATTTATTGACCTCTTTATTAACTGTTGTTCATTTATGAACAGGGGACGAGGTGTCGAGATGGATTTAATGAACCCAGTGTGTCGGTAAAAATGATTATCATGAATTTGTTCTCAGTGAAACTGAGTTTGTTGACAAAACAGGTTGTTGTTGTTGTTTGAGTTCAGCTCAATTAACCAATCAAATTTTATTTAATTAGCACTTTTTTGCTAGATCAAATGCAGTTTTAAGTGCTTCACGAAGAACTGAATCTTAGAACATGAAAAATAAATTGAATTAGATAAACTAAGAGGTGGTTATTTATAATAATATAAATGCAAATAGCAGTAAAACAAAAAATATGACACAAAAAAAATTGTTTATAGCAGAACAGTTAAATTGTAGTAAAGTAAAATAGAATTAAATAAATAAAAATCATCCTAAAACCTTAGAATTTAGTACGTTAAATGACAGTCAGGCTTCATGGATGGGTTTTAGTTTAATGTAGTGAGAGATTTTGTTTGAGAGTTTGTTCAGGATTTGTTTAGAAGTTTCTTCATTTTTAGTCGTTTCCTCGTTACTAGTTGTAGATTTTGCTCCTCACAACTCTGGCTGAACGTTAGAAAAGCTTTAATTCTTTCTTCTCTCCTTTTAACTCAAAACACGTTTTTGTTTTTTTTTTACACGCAGTCCGAAACTTCAAATTTACACTTTTAGGACCAGAAGCGTATAATTTTGACTCGTAAATGTTTTTTTTTAAATTAGCATACGCTGGCTAGTTACACGTCTGGGCGTGTGCAGTGCGTGCGGTTCGTATGTGTGAGCGTGCGGTCAGCGTGCATGCCTGTGTTTTTGTGGCTTCGTGCATCTGTGTGTTGGTTTGTGTGCGTTTTTCTGAGAGAGGCTGCACCACGTGGGTTCGTTTAGGTTACAGACTCCTCCTGCATGTGTGTTACACAAATAACAGGGTGGACGCTGTTCTGCTGTAAACCGCCGTCAGTCTGCACTCGGCTCTGCTTCTCTACGTACTGGACCGGCACCTAAACATTTGTAATTGAAGCTTTTATTTTATTTTTTTTATGGGGTCTTGCTTTTGCTTTTATTTTGTAAAGATCAAAACTACTTCCTTTGAAGCCCAGTGGTTTGAAGTAGATGTAAAGAAGTGGACTGTCAGTCTGCGGTCTTTAAAGGTAGAACGTGTCCCTTCAGATGTTTCAGACGTTAAAAACAGTTCGCACAAGAGTTAATATCAGAACTCTCATGTTGCAGTGAACATCTGAGGACGTCCAAAGTGCAGGTTACGGTTACCAAAGCTGTGTGGGTGGGCCTGCTTTGTGTGCTTCTAGCAGCCTGGTTTAGCACTAGCATACGAAAATGGAAGACGTTCAAACAAGTATTTAAAGTCAAGACT